TTTGTTGCCCCCGGGGGGCCCCCTGAGGGCCCCCGAAGACCAAATAGACGGGGACACAGGTGTGTGGGCCCTAGCCCTACAGCTCTGTAAGCTCTAGAGGCCCCCGGGGCCCCCGGGGCCCCAGGGGCCCCTGGGGCCCCTGGGGCCCCTGGGGCCCCCGGGTTTCTAGAGGCCCCAAGTAGGGGGCCGTTGGGCTGTTAGGGGCCCCAAGGAGCTTACAGCCATAAGGCTTCTAGGGACCCCAGGGGCTCTAGGGGCCCTCAGGCTATAGTTAGCTTCTTGGGGGTCCCCAACGGGTGCCCCTGTGGGGGCCCCAGGGGCCCTGCGAGTGTGCTAGGGGGCCCCCGGGGCCCTCAGGGTTCTGGGGATATAAGGGGGCCCCTTCTTTACTTTTGAGTCAAAAAGCCCAGAGGAGCTTTTTTTTGTTTTCTATTTTCAGGCTGTTTCGTTTGGGACGCTTCGGTGGTGTTGGCTCGCTTCCTTGAGGACACAATTGAAGGCATGCAAAGGCCATTTTGGCTCCTTGGGGGCCCCCCAGGTGGCCCCCCGGGGGGCCCCCCCGGGGGCCCCCTTGGGGGCCCCCTGGGGGGACCCCAAGGGACCTCGCCTCCTCTCATCATTGAGCTGGGAGCTGGCAAGGGCCTTGTCGGGCTGGGGGCCGCAGCGCTGATTGCTGCATTAGCTGGGCGTGAGGCAAAGGCCTTGGGGGCCCCTCAGGGGGCCCCTGGGGGTCCCCCAGGGGCCCCCAAAGGGCACTGCTGCCACTTGCTGCTGACAGACTTGCCGTACTGCTTGGAGGGCCTCCGTGCTGCAGTGGAACTAAATAAGGCCTTTGCAGAGCCCCTTGAAGTGGCCCCCGGCGGCTGCAGTCTCTCAGGTAGCTGCAAAAGGGCCCCTAGGGGGGCCCCCCTAGGGGCCCCCGCAGGGGCCCCCAGGCTCTCCTCAGGGCCCCCAGGGCCCCCGGAGCCCCCAGGATCGGGTGTGGGGCGGGTGGGGGCTCCCCAGGGGCTTGAAGGGGGGCCCCTGGCTGGCGTAGCTGTGGAGGCCCTTGACTGGTTCTGCCCTGAGAAATGCAGGGCGTGGGGCCCCTCAGGGGGCCCCCCTTGCGAACCCTTCCTCGTTGTTGCTGCTGATGTCTTATGGCTTAAAGACCTTGTAAAGCCATTTGTAGAGACACTGGCCTTTCTCTTGAGTCCCCCGAAGGCCCCACTAGAGCCAAGCGCTCACCTCCAAGGGCCCCCTCAGGGGTCCCCCCAGGGGCCCCCGCAGGGGCCCCCTGAGGGGCTCCTCCAGGGGCCCCCACAAGAGTGCCCACGGGGCCCCCCGCAGGGCCCCTCAGAGAACCTTTCGGGGGGCCCTTCTGAGACTCTCTCAGAGAAACACCTAGAGGGGCCCCCAGAGGGCCCCCCCGGAGGGCCCCCAGGGGGCCCCCCGGGGCGCCCCCCAGGGGGGCCCCCCTGGGGGCCCCCACAAGGGCCCTTAGGATTTAGGGGCCCTTTGGCGCTCGTGGCGCATCAAAGCCGCAGCAGAGCAGTTGATGATTTATTTTTTTCTCTCTTGAGGGAAAATGGACTTTTCGCTGAGGCCCTCAACCACGAGGGT